TCAGAGCCCCAAAACTCAATTAACCATGTGTGTGACTGACCATACGGGTACCTGATGACACGCCAGTATCGTAAACAAACACATGATAATACTCCCTTGGGATCATCCCCAACGAATACTGGTGCTGGAAGCCCATGTGTTTTCTATGTGGTTTTCGTGAAAGTTTGTGTGTATTTCGTTATTTAGTGTGTGATAAAAACGGGGTCTCAGAATTCACTGACCGTCTGACAGTGTCAGGGTATTGTCCTTGAGGTTGATAATAGCCCTCAAGTAACGGAGCAAGTCGAGGCCGACGATGCAATCTGCCAGCGACGTAGACATGACACAAAAGGGAAATGACACAAAAGGGAAATGACACATTGGCGCCAGCGAGGTGAAATGAGAATTTTGCTCGACCCAAAATGTCGAGATTCGAGTTGTCTGCAGTGACAAAGCCCAGGCGAGGTTGTTTGAGTGGGGGCTGGCCGAGACGACGCCAAAATGACGCACTGATGAAACTACTGGTTGCTCCAGTGTCAATGAGAACTGTTGCCTGTACTCGGTCGATGTACGCTTTGACGAAAGGGTTCGTCGCCGTCTGTGTCCGCGTGTCAGACACAGCGATGCGCGCGACAAGGCGAGACGTAGGTGCACAGTCGTTGAACAGGTCGTCACAATTGGTCGGGTCTAGTTTTGACGAGCGACGATGGTAGTTTCGCGTCCCCTGTAAATGAATGCGTTGGCGAGCCACACTAGACTGGGAGGACTTGTCCGGTGGGTAGTCAAGTGGTAGTTCGTTCCAGGAAGCAATAGATGGTTTGGATGAGATTGTTGGACGTGAGATCTGAGTCGTCCAATTAGTCGATGTACGTGTCAGTGGTGTTGAAGCCTTTGGCATCGTTGGCGAAGGTGAGTTATCAGGCACCGCGTATAGTCCAGGGCAAGGCGAGTCGTCAAACTCGTCTTCGGCCTCACATAGCACGTCGTAAGGATTAGGGTCGACCCATTGTATGTGAGCGACAGCATCAGATATGTTGAAGTCGCGATTCGCGCGTTTGGCCTCGCCACACTTATTGAGCGTGTATGCGAACCAGGCATACCATTTGGCTTCGTCCTCGATGTCTGCCGGGGCCAGAAGTAGGTGGGCATCCGACGGAAGGAGGTTGAGAGTTTTGAGTATCTCGTCCTGTGCAGGGTTCTTGCGACGTTCGCGGATGCGATCAGTTTGCATGCTGTAGTAATCGGGTAAAGTCGATCCTCGATTTCCTTGGGATATTCCTCCTCGGGTATTTCAGGGCACGACGAAAGAAGTCGTTGACCTCAGCGTCCGAGAAGACTGGACTTGCAGGTTGGTCGTCCGCGCTTTTGCGAATCTGGTTGCGAGAAGTCGATGAAGCAAACGTCGAGTCGAGTGATGGTGCTTGAATAGGAGCCGTAGACTCGTCACAAACAGACTTGGCCAGACAAACGTGGTTCGTCGGCGTGGGTCTTGAGTGCGTAGGAGAAGAGTTTGACTCAAGCTTGGTCAGACGAACAGAGTCCATCGGCGGGGGCCATCGTCGTGAAACATGAGTGTGCGTAGAGAGATGCGGCATTCGAGTCGAGTCCAAGATTGAAGGATGGATAAAAGACGCGAGTCCTTCCTCCGTCGTAACAATTGGGATCGAACAAGAAAAGGAAGATGCATTGTTCTCAGGTACATAAGGAGCGTGCTGAGTGTGGCAAGCCGAGACGAAACCTGTTTCCGTAAGGTTCATCTCAGCGCCAAAGCCTCAGGCTTGATTTGCGGGCTTGGATGGGCACTTGGCAGAGCTTGACATGTTCTCCTGGGTAGTGTCCCGTCTGGCCGCAAGAGTTGCAGCGCATAGTCCGTCGAGAGCATTCGCTGGCGCCATGTCCACGACGATCACAACGACCACAGACGTTTTGGCCGCTGACCGTCATTTCGTCGGGCTTGGACGAGATCACCACTGGGGTATGGCCAACACGAGTACGTCCGGCACCGGTCATTTGATTCTGTGTCGGTGTCAGGTTCGGTGGAACGGCCGCATGGCCGGAAGGTGCAATGGTATTACAAACTGTAGGAGCATATGGTTGTTGATACGGCTGTCCAAAAGACAAAGTCGCGGGCTGGACTGGAGCCGCTTGTTGATAGGCGAAGCCGTATGGTTGCGTCGGTTGGATCGGGGCAGCATAATTAGGCTGAGTTTGACGACTCAAGGCGTCGACAAACCCTTGCTGGACTTGGTTCGAACGCTCGATCAACGCGACGAACGCCTTTTGTTGTTGGACATGGTTCGTCGTCATGAGTTCGAGAAGTTGTCGCATCGCCGCTTGGTCTTCAAACTCGACATGGGATCCGCGGCGTGACAGACGAGGCGACGCCGGAGGAGTTGAACGTTCACTCGCAGTTGTACGAGACGACGCCTACGTAGAGGTCGAGGAGTTGGATCGAGGATTGGCGTACGTCTGGGGCTTGCCAGTTATTTCGTCCAGACGAACTTCACGCGCGAAGGAGTTTCATACAGTCGGCGATCGAGTTGAGTTCGCGGTCGGTGTGTTCGAGACAAGATTCTGCACGGGCGTGTCGGACTCCGCGTTTGAACATGGCAACCCCTTTACTAGCTGGGAAGTCCACTTCGTCCAAGATCGTCTGGAGTCGAATTGCGTACGCCTTTACTGGTTCGTCCATGTAACGTTCAGACGCTTCGATCTGGTTGTCCACGTGGTCGCGAGGAGTGCTGCTGCAGAACTGGTCCACAAAGCTGTCATGGATCTCAGACCAGACCTCACCGCCTTTAGTCTTGGAGTAGGCGATCCACCAGGCGTTCAGGGTAGTGGGAGTCTTGTCGGCCGAGAGCTTCAGACCGAGAAGGGACTTGCGTTCGTCGTCGGTCAGACCACCACGATCAGCTTGTTCCACAAGTTGTTTCATGAAATACTCACAGTGATCATGGGCGTCCGATGACGGGGTGGTAGTGTATTTCACAGCGCGACCGAATGCTTGGTTGCTCGAGGACGTGTCGATAGCCTCCTTGACATCAGCCATTTCAGTGGACATTTTGGTCAAGAGGGCAGTGAGCTCGGAAGGTAGCTGAAAAGGGTAGCCCGAAGATGGTTCGGGTGCCGGGATCGAAGCTTGGGCTAGACAGGACGAGAAGTCTAGACTGAGCTGATCGATGTGTGTTTCGAGAAGTAGCACGCGGTCTTGCAGAAGTGTCTTGTCGTGGACGAGAGACGAGACGCGTTCGTGTAAGAGTTGGTTTTCCTGGCGAAGCGCTTC